AAACTTACCGTGCTGATTTGGAACCCTTCCATCGTTGAAAACTTTCAGGACCTGGAGTTGAAGCCGCTCGCGAGTTTCATGCAGGTGGAGTTCAACAAGCCGAACAGTTTGCCCATGGACACCTGGCTGTTGCCAAACCGTGGCGATGACCCGTCCGTTTATGAGGAACGGATGCGGTTGCTAGGGAATATTGTGGTGCCAGCGTGTGCGTCGTTGGCCAGTGAGATCCTCCTGAGGGTTCACAGGTCCTGGCGCGCAACTTTGAGCTCGTGAGTTTCACATTCGCAATGCCCTTTTGATCTGGCAAGCTGTTTTAACAGCTTGCCAGCCAGGTCGTCACATGTTTCGCTACTATCTATAAAGGGATCAGCGCAGCTACAGGTGGACAATAGGTTTCGCTACTTAGAGGGTACAGTGCAGCAGCTACAGATTGACCATTTTTGTGGGCTGCGCGGGTGAAAGCTAATTCATAATGTAGCGCGCTCAGCGTTGCAATGCAGCAGTTCGATAGATGTGGGAAAACTTGGCGCAACGTATGCTTGAGGCTTCTTCTTCAGTCAACAGGAATTGTTCGCAACTCTTGGGACCAATAGCTGTATGAGGGGCCATGCAAAGAGTAACTTTCATTGTGCACACTGAATCGAGGTGCAGTTCTTTTGAAATTCCAATCGCCACCAAAGCTATTTTTTTGAGGGGGTGCAAGTACGATAAACATGAGTCTGGTTCCTAGTGCAATGGAGGAGCCACGCATGGTTCGCAATGTCACTTCGTTGACTAGCAGCAGTGCAAGCTCCGGAACAGACGCAGAATGGCTGCAGACTTGCAAGCCCTCCAAAAGGAGGAAGAGGGTCCGGAAGAAGCGACCGCAGGTCAATGACCTTGTGCAGATTCAGGTCATGCTGTCAAAGATCTCAGCTAAGTGCAAGTCAGGGTGCCGTGACCATTTCCGGTGCAAAGAGGCTTTGCAGCGGCTGGTTTCTTTCAGGAAAGAGTGGGCAGAGTTGCACAAACTTGACCAGGACAATGTTGTGCCTCAGCACAAAAAAAACAATTGTTTTTGAGCATGTTCATTTGACTGAGCGGCTCTGACAATTGTATTTCCCCATTGCTGGCTGCGCATTGTGGGTCTCCGCGCTAGGCCTTTCAGCGTGTGCGGGACATCCTTCGAGCAAGCCCTGAGGGGGCTCGCACTGCTTGGATCTTCTTGGACCAGCAGGTTTGCTTAAGATGTTTCAAAGCTTTGCATGCGCTGGGCGCCTTGCATGCAAGATGTGGTGGCGAGACATGTCGAGACTGCTGCTTTCCAGTTTCTGAAATTCTCAAGGTTTGCTTTTCTTTGGGCGCTCTTCGTTTTGTCAGGAAGTGGTCGCTTTGCTCGAATCAAAGCAGCTGTGGCGAGAGGGGACGCAGCGCCCCCAGTTGATTTGAGGTATTTGGCAAAAGCAAAGCATCACGCAGACAAGACTTCAGAACTTTTCTCCGGTGTCTTCTCGTTTCTTGAGCAAATCTACAACTCGATTGCCGAAAGCCTTCCCGACGTGAGAGATTGCACGTACGACTCTCCCTTAGACCCATATGCTATCATGGTGGACACAGAAAGCTCACAGCGAGATCCTTCTCAACAAAGCACGCAGGAACCAAAGTCCACCTCTAAGAGGCATCGCCGAGGTGTTGCAGTGGACCCATTAAGGACAGTTCAAGCTGGTTGCGAAGTTAGATGGCTCCCGCCCGGAGCGATCAAGGACTATTGGGTCCAGTACAAACAGCAAGCGCCAGGTCAGGCAGCCTCCTTCCCTACTTTTTGGCGTGCGCCTTTGCCTGATTCACTTACCCCTTTTTGGTTAGCTGGTTCGGTGCTTTTCATTTTTCAGGTTTGCGAGTGCGATGAACCAATCATCGTTGCAAGGTGTGGGCGTCCCACTTCTCGTTCATGAGATTTAGAGTGCATTCCAGTCACGCTACCTGCACAGAGTGCGTAAAGCACAAAGTGCTGATTGCATCGCTTGGCCATCACCTGGCTGCCAGGCGAATGCAACAGTCACTTCTGTATGCACACCTCGCCTCCCAATTTCGGGACAGATGTGAATATTGGAGGAAACGAGGATGCTCAAGGTCCCGAGGACCGGAGGTGATTATCATCTCCGACGGGATGGACCAAGGAAAATTTGCGGTGCCACGGCATCACGCAATGCGGGCAAAACAGTTCGACTCATGGAGCAGGCCCCGCTTGCACGTGGCTGCCACCATCGCTCATGGATGGCTATTAGACTTCTTCGTCAGCGAGGCCAACCTTTGTAAGGATTCAAACACGTCGATAGAAATCCTGGCCTCAACTATGACTCGACTGACCCAGCTTGGGTGTGACCTGCCCTCGAGCAGAGTCACAATCCAAGCTGACAACACTTGCAGAGAGGTCAAGAACGGGCACGTTATGCGGTGGGCCAGTTCACTGGTATCAGATCACCGATGCCAAGAGATCTGCATGAGTTTCTTGAGAAGTGGCCACAGCCACGAAGACATCGATCAAGTCTTCGGTAGCGCAGCTGATTGGATCCGTAGACGCCTTCCACGCGCAGAGAGTTCAGAGGATGTTGTGACCAGCCTGCAAGGCTTCCTTGCTTCTCTGGAGCGCCCTCACGAGGGGCACAGAAGATGCTTCAAGCTTGATGGCACTCGTGACTGGCGCCTTTGTGTGATGTTTTGTTCAGGCTGTAGTTTTGCCGAGTTTCAGACGTCCGTTGCTTACGCGTGTAGTGTGTCAGTGTGCGTTGAACTGTGACAGATGGCTTTACTCTTTACGCCGTCATTGCTTGTGACTTCAGGAAAGGGTGGCTGAGTGAAGCCGTGCCAGTGGGACTGGTCGGTGTCGGCGGGCCCGGTGCGCCGCATGAGTTGAGATTTGTGAGAAGGTGCGACGTAGGCAGGGGCAGCGTGTCCAGTGACCAGTGTGCGTTGCTAGCTTTGAAGGGAAGTTTAAATCCTTTTGTGGGATAGGACGTATTTGTTGGTTCTCAGGATCAGGGACAAGTGTGCCGCGCGTCCAGAACAACTATTGGAAGTGTGATGAGCACCCTCATGATGTCCTTCTAATGCCATGGTCCCAGAGAGGGTTTTGTAGCAAACTTGACACCTATAGCGAGCAAGCGCTTCTAAGAGGGGCTTGCCTGGCAGGTGTTTTGGCATGCTTGTGAGTTTGCAGTTTGCGTGGTGATAGTATGACTTGTGACTCTCATCTTGTGAGGACCAAACAGTGGATGCACCAGAAGAACTACAGCCATTGCTTCCTCTTCCTTCCGCGACTATGGGCCTTGCGCAACTTGCCCGTTGGTATCCCACAAGGCAAGCTTCACGCGTGACCCACAATTCAACCAATCCTTTTGCTTGAGACCAAGTGCTTGAGAAGTTAGGCAATTGTCACTCAGCTTTTAATTTGCGATCGCCAGCTTTGGCCGACAAGAACGACATTGGTGATGCGAACCGAGACCATCATCTCAAATACATTCCTTCTTTGAGACTCCCTGAATTCAGCCTTCTGAGAGCTGCTGATTACCTGGAAGCCTGGATCAGTGATGTGCTGCCTGAGAAGCCTTTGCTAGATGTCAGTGCGCTCCATGACTGAGCATTGAGTTGAACGCGTTCAAATATATATAGTAACTGCGACGATGTGATTGCAGTTCACAGTGATTGAGATCCGAGGTCAGCTCTCAGCAGGTCTCGTGTTGAAGAGACTCGTTGGGCAGATGCATATGGAGGGACGAAGTCATTTGAGGTCTTGCCGAACCCTTTGATGCTGCTTGTCGGCTCATTAGGATGTTTGTTTCGTGATGCTTGGCGGCCCGTGTTTCTTTGGCCATTCAAGGCTTCAGGTGGCAAGGGATCGTGTAAAATATGCGAAGAGGTACAGGACAGCTTCGGTTTTCCAAGCTGCGGCTCGCTTGTGGGTTGAAGGGGTGCCGTGGGATAACGCTGTCGAGCTCTCAGAAGTCGCAATACAAAAATCTGAGCCGCTGTCCAAAGGACAACGGGGGAAGGGCCGAGGGAAATCTGGCAAAGCCAAAGGCAAAGGTAGGCGATGGACTGATAGACCACGCAGCCCGATAGACATATGGCCTATGGCATGTCAGGTGCTGCGGTAAGAATGTCTAGGACTGGCAGTGAGTAGAATCACCTCTTGTCTAAACTCTGTTATTCAAAAAGCGTTTGTCTAAACCCTAAACGTCGTGACACTCTCAAAATTTGGGAGCGGCAGTACCGTTTAAGGTGGCTTGGGTTCAATGGTTGATTGTTCTGCTTGAACCAGTCCCCATTTTAGCAGCAGTTCGGCTTTGCGTTTTTTGGACGGATCTGGGGGCAGATTGGTCCCCAAACGCAGTTGTTTGTAGTTTTTTTTTGTCAATGTGATAATTTCAACTTTACAAGATTTGATGTCCACCTCTGGTGGTTGGACCGATCTGCCCCCAGATCCGCCCACAATGCAAAGCACTTTGCAGTGGCAGGTTGCAGGGCGAATCCTGGCTTCAAAGAGTTTGTTCTTGGGGCTGGTTTGTTTCAGAGAGATGGGCGGATCTGACCCCAGATCCGTCCACATACAATGACAAAGCCCGTGCCAGAACGGTTTCGCCCACGCCGTGTTTGCTTGCTGTGCGACGGATTTTTTAAAATCGGCCCACTCCATATAGTTGTAGCTTTTGGACGGATTTTTGCTTTTCCGCCCAGCAAGTTATGGTCTTCATGTGTTTGTGGAAGATGTGGGTTGAAGAAGTTGGCAAAATGTCACAATCTCCCCGCTCTTGAACAACAGAGAGTTGAGTTGCGCTGACCGGGAACACATATTTTTCAGCTTTTCAAGATGCTGTCAGACTCGTTGTGTGGCGCTTCTTGTTTTAGGCTGGCAGTCATTTGTTTGTGCGGGTTGGCCTTCGATGTTAGTTTGAAGGCGTGCATGGGAGGAGAACCTGTGAAGGATCGGATCAGGCGGCTTGTTTCGGGCGCTGGGTAGCATGGCGCCGAAAAAGCGCAAGTCGGGCGCTGGTGGCGCTGTTGACACGCTGTCTGGGAAGAAGGCGAAACCCGTTGCAGACCATGACCCGGCACAGTGGCAGTACATCCACCAGGTCACTGCCTGGCCCCTTGCCAAGTTACCGTAACCGCTTGTCGTGTGTTCTCGCACCCGCGTCCGTGAGCAGAGTTTGTGGGCGTTGAAGCTAAATATTGCTGCGCGAAGGTTCCGGAAAGAGGTTCTCAAGGTCGGTGGCTTGGACGACTATTTGTCTTCAAAACATCCGGACGAGGCAGCGTACGGGAGTGGGGGCACTGGCAAGTACTTTTTTTTAATTTGAACGGTGACCCAAATTGAAATTTTGCTAGGGGTGCCAAATTGGTGATGCAAGCTTACTTGCCAGACCTTTTCTAGGCTAGTATGCTCGAGTTCGCAAGCTGGCTTGATGGGTTTGCGCCTGCCGACGGCTCGACCATGCCTTAGTTGGTCGTTTTGCGAAGTGTCCAAAAGCTTGTCCAACCTGTTTCCGCCCACCTCCTGGGATGTCCTTTTGCCCCGCAGGAAAAGCTACAGCACAGACATGTCAGGGCCAGGCTACATTAGACCGTGGCAGTGCTCGTGGCGCTCTGATTTTGGCGTGAGTGCAATGGTCGACCCTGACCAGGCCGAAAACCTGATGCAAATCTATTTGCAAGAGGGGTTACCTTGTGCGTTTACCAATCATTGGCTTGATAGCAGGGTTGCCATTGCTTTGATTTGGGTGTGTTTATGTGTGCCCCCAGCTGAGGTTTCTGACAAACCCCGACCTTGTGGGAACCGAGAAGGTAGCAGCAACCAGGGTTGGTTCAGCTTTCCTTGAGAGACCTTACACAGAGTGCGCTCCACTACCTGGCAAAAGTGTTTTGGCTGAGCTGTTCAGTTGGTTCGGGCTTTGAACTTGTGCAGGCATTGGCTTTGCAGTCTTGCTTGGATGTTTGGCCCAGGTGATCTGTTGCGGCCCTTCTCAGTCGGATACTGTAAGGGCTACAAACGGTGCTCCGTCCTGTTGATCACACTCCAGGGTGTGAGGGAGTTGGGCCTGGCTGACCATGTCCCCCACCATATCCGAGTTGCTTGGTGGTGAAAACCTTCAGACCTGATAGCCGCGCAGTGACGATTCAGTCAGGCTACGATGGGCACTATCCACGTGAACTTTGGGTCATTCAAAGACGCTCGCTCCCAAGTACTGGCCAATCGATGAGACAGTTCAGCCGACAAAACCAAGAAGTAGCCAAGCGACATAGTGGGGTTTGTGCGCAGTCGGGCCCAAATTGTCCGGTTGCTCAGCGTGTCGCGCGCCGCAGGATCTGCAATGATCAATGCCGCAACCCGAAAAGCACCACACTGCTTCAATTTCCTTCGCCAAATCCGCATCCTCCAGAAGTCTGGCTGTGGCGGAATCGACCAGCAGATGAAGGACACTTTTTTTGGGGGGGGCGTATGTGTGATATGTGTCGCGTGACACCATGACACTTCAATGCAATTACTCATGGCCGCCCAGGACTGGGAGAGCGCGTCGGGAATCGCAAGAGCCTTTTCCATAGGGCCGAAGGAGAGCAAGGCCGTGCGAGAGTTGGTTGTTGGTGTCCCTGACCTCATTCGGAACCGATTGGAGGCTGCAGTGAAAGTGAGGGGAATGTCTTTGTTTTTGAACCATGATACGATTGGGAATGGCACTTTTTCTGTTGGCTTCTCTTCGGCCTCCGGTGCTTGCGAAGCTTGGCATGAAGAGCTCACCAACCTCAAGGAGTCACATGACCTTGTGGCTCGCCATCCAATGGTTTTTGCGTTTTCTCTTCTGTTGTTTGAAGACAGACGTCTGTGCTCCTTTTTGTTGGTTTCCGGGGCGAGGTTTCGCTTTTTCTGGACAGAGTCATCAACGACCACGATCAAGCAGCGCCGGGCGTGAAGAAGGCCCTCACATACAAAGAGGCAGTCAAGGTTCACCAGAGCTGCGGCGGTTTCCTCTTTTTCTTGCAAAGGTTCAAGCAGCTGTGCCCCGAGAAGGATTACACTAAGTTTTCTGACTCACTCAGATCACAGTTCATGAGTGGGTTCCTGGACGCCGACTTGATCACCACGTTGGAGGAACAGGTCCCAAATGCAACAGAGGTTTCAGAAGTCAAGGCTTTCAGGCCAGGCACACATGGGCGGCCGACTCATGACTTGGTGATTCCCCCTTGCTAACCCACATTATGTTGGAGCAACCATAAACCCCAACACTTGCGACAACCAACCCAACTCATGACTTTGTTCGGGGCCAAGCCACGCAGCAGGCCTCTTATTTTGCAGATCGAACGGGGCCGCACTGACGAGAAGGAAGCGGCCGCGCAGGCGTTGGCCAGAGATGTTGCCAAGGCGACCCTTGCAGAGATCCAGGGAATGTTTGCAAGGGACATGGAGATCCTGAAGCTGAAGCTCCCTGGCAAAGCAGACCAGGCAGCTGAGACTGCGCGTGATGTGAAGTACCTTCGTGACCGCCAGCAGAGCCTCAGCTCAGCTCGATGGCTGTTGATTTGCGCGTTGAGCAGTTTTGGGGACACAAATGTTTGATATAAGTACGCGTAATACAAAGTAAATACAGACTGGCAGGTGGGTAGGTAGCAATTGTCGGATTCGTGCGCCGTTTTGGAGTGAAAGGAAGGGCCGCCAATTTGCAGAAGAGTTCATGAAGGCCAAGTGTTGCTTGGTGCCCGTTGACGACGATATGCAAACCATTGGGACCAGTGAGTTCCTGAAGTTCATGGAGCCTATGCGCGGAGCTGCAGGGACAGTGAACCTTGGTCAAATGATCTATTGATCTATTGTCACTTTTCGATATGGTATTCAACGCGCTGCCAACTAGCAGCGGTCAAGCTTTGAACTAGTGCCAGTTGAATGCTGATTTTGCTGGTACCCCCCCGCTGGCCGCACTTGACATGTGCCTCCTCCGTTCAGAGTTTTTTTGCATTTATTGGCCAGCAATCCCAGGTACGTTGTCGCTTGCCTTGATGTGACTGTCTTTCCCGCGAGCGCTGAAAGGGTCAAGGCAGCCTACAACATCCTTGGCGCGGTGTGCGCAATGAGCAGTTCACATTGTGGCTGGGTCTTGATGCCGGTCTTCCAGACACAAACAGCCGAGACCGCCTTGATGAAACACCGTCGCTCCATCGAGGATGGTTTGATGAAATCCTCTATCAACTTGACCAATGAGGTGGCAATTCTGTTTGAGAAACCAGAAGGTGTTCGGGATGGCCGGCCAATGTCGCAACCTGCTCGCGTTGCCATTCACACCAACTACGTGCAGACTTCACCGTTCCTGGAGAGCGACGCTGTCCAGACAGCCCGTTGTGGACCGTGCCAGCTGATCAAGATTTCCGACTTCATCGGCTTCGATCCAGATTCAAGGCCAGGGGCCTCAGCAAGAGTGGAGCAGAGCCTCAACTTTTCAGTCCTTTTGATATCTTTTCTGCAACGCCCAACTCTTTTAGGAATCTTTGGTGCTTGTTTGGCAGTGTCTTGAACCCTTTTGCGCCCACCCAGCCCTTCCTGGTCAACGCCGTGGATACAAGTTGGGCCCAAATCTAAATTGTATGGGTTTGTGTTTCAATCTAAACCAGTTTGGTGAATAGCCTGGGGCTTTGCTGAACCCACATTCAGACAAAACCAATAAATAGACTTTTTGAACTAAAGCTCAAAAAGTCTATTAATGTTCTTGGTTCCAAATAATGTGTAAGAAGGGTTTGGGTTTTCAGCAGCAAGCCAGCAGATTTCACCACTGAACATGTTTTTGTTCTGAAGTCTGAGCTTCCAGTGACCAAGCAAACGGACAGGTTTCTTTTGAGATGATTGTTTCACAAAGGCAGAACACGCGTGTTTTAGAACACCTTTGAGGGGTTGCGTCCTCCAACAAACAGAGCCACACAAACGTATTTTTAGCAAGCCCTCTTAACATGTGACCAAGGAAGGGAGTGCAAGCCCATAAGAAGATGGTTGATGACTTGCTCAGCTTCAACATCAATGAAACTGACAGGGTCATCTGGTTCGACGTGCTGCCTAACAGGCCAGGTTCTAACAAAGGGCCCCCCCTTGCTAACTCATTTCATTGTTGGCGAAATGGTTTGTTTATACAAATATATATAGATACATATATATATATATATATTCTCTTGCGGCTTCAATTCAGGCAAGCAGAATTCGGCTGAGCTTGCTTGCAGACCTTCCTGGAGGAATCCTCAACTCCTGTACACTACTTGGGGCTGGTGCGTGAGAAGAATCACGCTGAGCTACGTTCAGCTTTCGAGAGTGAGATCTATAAGTATTGGGACAACCATGGAACTTTGTCTCCGCCCAAAACCCGACCTCCGACAACGACGAGAACCGTTGACACTGAAAGCTTGGGCCTTGAGATGATTGCCATGGACAACAGCACTCCGGTGTTTCCCCTTGAAGTCGTTTTGAGCAGGTTCCGCAGTAGTGGGGCTGCAGAGCAGGAGGAAGTGAAGAAGATGCAGGCAAGGTTCCACGAGGTCTACCCACCTCCCCAGCCTACTGGGCCTGGAACAAACCAGAGGCCAGCTTCCACCACAATCCGCGCTTCGGGGCAATGTGACTTCAGCATCGACGACGGGAGGCAGCCCCTCGACGTGTCGAGGATGCTGGATCTGCTTTGCGTGCCTGTTGGTGAAGTTCCAGCGGCGAGGTTCGCGTTCAGTCAAATGGTGTCCAAATCAACGTGAATTTGATGTGAAAAACGATTGTTTGAATATCCTATATTGATCATGGTTCGACTGCAGTTTAAGCTGTATGGAAATACTGCATCGATGTAACCTTAGCTTCAATCGCTTTCAGTATTATACGCAGCTTTCTCAATTTTTCGATTTTTCACAGTCTTAGACCCGCTTCAATTTTGCTTGTCAGGCTTGGCGCTAGTTTGGGCAAAGGTGGCAAACCCACTGTGGTGATTGACACCTCGCACCACATTTGGCTGCTCAACTCTTCGGACCAAGCAATGCAAGTGACTGCTGGTGAGCTGTTTGGCTTCGGCGCGGGTCAGTTTTCGGTCACTGTCGATTGTAACTTGGTCTGACCTTTTTGCTGTCTCGTTTTCTGAGCGCTAAGTTGCAGTATGTTAACGCGTCGCCGGTTTCTAGTCTGTTGACGCAGGCCAAGCCTAAAGTGATCTTAGATTCAATGTTTGTTTCAGGCGAGGAGGTGCTACCTGGTGGGCTTCCATGGGTCCTCAAGAGTGATTTGGACCTGATTGCGCATGACAAATCGCCGACTGCGTTGTGTGTCTTTTTGCGCAAGCTGGCGGTTGAGGGAGGCTTGGCCGACATCGACGTCGAGTACCATATCCTCGTCCCCAAAGTTCTGAGCGCCAAAGAGGAGCCTCTAGTGTTCTTTTTGACAGCCCTTGTTCTGTGTTTGTATTGTGTTTGAGCGTGAGGAAGGTGGCGAGCCCACGTCCTTGCCCGTCAGTTTCAGGCTAGTTGTCTCAGCTTCGTTTTTGCCTTTTGTTTGGTTGGCGCATGTGAGAATGCCAGGTGGGATGTGACCCGGCTTGGCTCCAAGAAGACGTGTGTTTTCAAGCCGAGCCCGCTTGATGGTGAGCCTGCAAGTCGCGACAATCTCCGAAGGGCAGTCCTGGGAGCTGTTTTCCACGGTGATTACCAGAAAGTCCCGCGTGGCAACAAACGGGTTGCATTGACTTGGGAGGCTGGCGCGCCCAGAATGAACAGCATCCATTGTTCGTTCACTTAGACTTTTGCAATAAGTGGATGAGCCTTGATGAGTGACATTTTGCGCACTGGACAGGTGGAGTACTCATCATCGCCGCCGAAGCTTTTACCAGTCAAGCCCAAGGTCTATTTGCTTGCAGCTCTGAGCATTCCGGCTGGCTCAGCTGTGGATTTGTGTGCTTAGTCAGCCATGAAGTAGACCCTGTTTTTCCTGGCTTTCTTAGAAGGATCGATTTTGCGCAGTCATTCACTGCAGATCCTATCAATGATTTGTTGAGTCAAGATGTGTGTGCCACACGGGGCATGCCACCAAGGGATTCAAGAGTACGAAGCCGGCAGTTCCACTGACACACGGGAACGCGCGCATGGAAAATAGAAAGCTTAAAGTTCGAAGTTAATGTTTAGATTTCTCTACCCTCAATTGCTGTTTTAGAATGGCCGGCTCTCAGATTGCTCTTATCGTAGCAGTTTGACTGTCAGGTTGAAGGAGTTATATAGTTCTTGGTAGCCGGGTGTTTTGAGAATGCCAGTGCTCATGAACGTCGACAAGCTCTCTGAGTCGTCAGGGGAGGCCAGGCCTGTTTTTGATTGCAGGGAATCGGAAGCACACTTTCCGATCGCGCCGCTCTATTTGTCAGGAGCCGGCGCCTAAGGCTAAGGCTAAGGCCAAGCCGAAAACCCTTCCTAAGAAGAAGGCAGATCCACCTCCAGAAACCAAGCAGGAAGCTTCAGTCCCACCAGCCAAAGGGGTGTTGCCAACCAAGCCGAAAGGCAAGGCAAAGACGAAGGCCACGGGTTCAGGCCGGCCCTTGCTGGACAATTTCAAGCAATGTGGTTTTTTGCTTTAAAGCGAGCGGTTTCTGGCGGTTTAGTTGGGTTTTGGGGCACAGGTGATCGCGCTGATGAGGATAAGGATGCAGCTGCCGCAGCAGCAGCAGCTGGCTCGTCTACCGGGCCGAAGAAGAGGCCGAGCGCAAAGTTGAGCGAGGATGACAGCTATTGTAACCCAGTCTGGCACAAAGCTTCGCACGCTTGGACGGTCAAGTACCGTAAGAGCGACAAGCAGGCTTTGAGTGTTCCATGGCGTCGTGCGTCAGGTTCACACGTTTGTTTTTCTTCTGACAGCTGTTTGTTGCTGCTACCGATTCAGAATTGGAACCCTACAATTTTGGTTCTATAAGGTTGGTAGCAAGTGGATCGACAAAGAGAAGGGAAAAGAGATTGTAGCCCCATGCTCAGCGTTCTATAGTTCTCAGTGTGGTGTGTGTGCAATGTGTGTGTGCGCCAGAGATTTGTGTTGTGCTCTTAGCCGATCTGATTGGCAGCTCACTTGGAGGACTTGGCAGTGGAGAAGTTGAAGGCCGGCGAGCCCTTGGACGTTGTAAAGGCTGGATGTTTGTGAGGTGGCTGCGTGTTCTGCACGGCTGCCCTGTTGAGGCCATGACGAATTCCATGAAGCAGGCAATTTTTGAGAAGCGCCGATCGGAGACAGGGCAGGCAGCAGCCGCCAATTCTGGCGAGGCTGTTGGTGGTGCGGACGGTGAAGCTGCCGCCAGTGGTGAAGCGGCAGCCGCCGATGCTGAAGCGGCAGCTGGACCTGGAGCGGATGATGAAGACCCCGATCATTTTGACGAGGCGATGGAGGAAGAAGACCGAGAGGATGATGCGGCGGTGAGCGCCGATGGCCGGTTGATCGAAGAAGCTGCCGAAAACGTAGATTGAGCCTGGCTTTGAACAGCGACAGTCACCGCTTGCCGGAACTGTGGTGAGAAAAAGAGCGTTCCTTTAGTGGAGTTGCGCCCAGTGGCTGGGTCCTCGTGCTGCAACAGACTTTTTTCGGTACTTGTAGCCGTAGCTGCTTCTTGATTTGCGACGGTCTCCGTCCGCGTGTTATTAAAGAAGGATTCTGTGCGATCATGACGGATCTAAAGTGTTGTTTCTAAATGAACTGTGTGTTACAACTGAATGACCATGTTTCAACAGCGCCCAGTTGACTTGCAGATTTCTGCCATTGTGTAGCACTTGCCAAGTAAATCAGTTCCTGGCAACTTGTCTATAGCAGCTAGCAGAGTCAAAGCCTTAAAAGAATTTGCCCACCGCTCCCTCGCAATCGGCGCCCTGTTTTTCGAAGGTTCTTCGTCCTTTGTGTCAACCGTAGGTTTAAGGTTTTGCGAAGCGAAGGCTGATTACCAGTCACTGCGTTTTTCCATCAAACATCCTCTCCACACTGAGAACAAACAAACAACGGAAGCAGGTCACCCTGGTCGTGACTTGTCAAAGGGACGGCCAGTTTGGGACGTGGAGGGGAACCATCCAACTATTATGGGGAAGTCAAAACACCCACTCAGAGCATATACTATATACTATTTGTTTGCCGGAGTAAAGTTTGTATGTCGCCTGTCCAATGTTAAGCAGCATTTAATGTTTGGCGTTGTTTTAGCCGCTTTCGGTGAACAATATGTTGACAGGGTGCTGCCCGCCCAGTTCGTCAAGTTTAATGCGTTCGCTCTTCGCCGTGATGTTGCTCTGCAAAGCCGGGTGTGTTTGCAAGAACATGGTTTGTGGTTTCTCGTCCAGCCCCCAAAACCAGGACGCGGGCGTCCCCAGTTTGATAGCGCTTTGAAACGAGCACGGGCCGCGTCCGCCAGCATGGAACATGTCCTGTAAAAAACCAAGGTCTTTTTGAAGAGTAGTTGTCAAAAATGGTTCAAAGGAGTTCAAACACAGTAGCGCAGTCCACCAGCAACAAACAACGAAAAGTCGCAGACTGCCACAGAAACCTGCGCGATTGCCTGGCAGTTCCACCGCGCAGGTGTCCACTGGCTGGAAAACACAACGGAAATGTTGAGTGCTGTTGAACTTGGCGGGTCAGCGCTGCCTGAAACCCTCGCCTTGCGGGTTTTTGGTTGTCAGACTTTTCCAAGGTCACCAGGAGTCTAGTCTACCGCTTCTTTGGTGGACAGCCAATAAGGGTAGCGCATCCAAAAATTTTGAGACACGCGCTGCCAGAAATTGATGTTGCGTGATCATGTTTGACCCAAAGAATACAGCCCCTTGGGAAGCAGCTCCATCTACATGGTGAAGCACCAGCTCAGCGTGAGAGTTTATATGTGTTTGGACGCGTTTCGCCAATCCCCTCTAATTTGAAAAGTGTCCAACAAGATTTTTCAAGACATGGTGAGTAGGTAAGTAGTAATGTTCCATAAACACGGTGAGCCATGAGGATTGAACAGACATGTATCAACATCTGCCAAGCACTGTCAGCCAACAAGGCTAGATGACAGACATGTGTCAACATCTGCCAACCACTCTCCAACTGAGGTAGTGGAACCCCAGTTCATTTTGGAACCCCAATTCAAATGAAATAGCCTTCCCTATATAGTAGCGTCCTTGCTCCTAGTAGCGATGCCAGGAGCCCC